AGAGCGAAAGAAAGAAAAGAGAAAAAGAAAGAAATAGAAAAAGAGAAATGAAAAGAAAAAAGAAAGAAAGAAAAGAGCGAAAGAAAGAAAGAAAAGAAGAAAAAGAGAGATGATACGAAGAAAGAAAGAAAGAAAGAAAGAAAGAAAGAAAGAAAAGAAAGAAAGTGAAAGAAAGAAAGAAAGAAAGAAAAGATAAAGAAAGAAAGAAAAGGCAGAAAGAAAGAAAGAGAGAAAGAAAGAAAAAAAGAAATAGAAAGAAAATGACAGGAGGAAACGAAATAAAAGAAAGAAAGAAAGAAAAAGAAAGGCAGAAAGAAAGAGAAAGAAAGAAAGAAAGAAATAGAAAAGAAATGAAGAAAGAAAGAAAGAAAGAAAGAAAGAAAGAAAGGTTAAAGAAAAAAGATAGAAAGAAAGAAAAGAAAGAAAGAAAGAAAGAAAGAAAGGATTATAAGAAAGAAAAGAAAAAAAGAAAGAAAGAAAGAAAAAAGAAAGAAAAGAAAAGAAAGAAAAGAAAGAAAGAAAGAAAGAAAGAAAGAAAGAAAGAAAGAAAGGCATTTAAAGAAAGAAAGAAAGAAAGAAAGAAAGAAAAAGAAAGAAAGAAAGAAAGATGGAGATTATAAGAAATAAAGAAAGAAAAAGAGGAGATGATACGAGAAAGAAAGAAAGAAAGAAAGAAAGAAAAAAGAAAGAAAGAAAGAAAGAAAAGAAAAAGAGAGATGGAGAGAAAGAGAAAGAAAGAAAGAAAAGAAAGAAATTATAAGAAATAGTGGATAGAAAGAGAGAAAGATAAGAAAAGAAAGAAAGAAAGAAAGAAAGAAATAGGGATAGAAAAAGAGAATGATAAGAAAGAAAGAAAGAAAAGAAAGAAAGAAGATTATAAGAAATAGTGGATAGAAAAAAGAGAGATGATACGAGAAAAAAGAAAGAAAGAAAGAAACGATTATAAGAAATAAAGATAGAAAGAGAGATGATACAGAAAGAAAGAAAGAAAAGAAAGAAAGAGCGATTAAAGAGCTAGCGGATAAAGAAAGAAAGAAAGAAAGAAAGAAAGAAAAGGCAAAAGAAAGAAAAGAAATAGTGGATAGAAAAAGAGAGAAAAGAAAGAAAAAGAAAGAAAGAGCGATTAAAAGAAAGAATAGAAAAGAAGATGATAAAGAAAGAAAGAAAGAAAGAGCGCGATTATAAGAAATAGTGGATAGAAAAAAGATGATACGAGAAAGAAAAAGAAAGAAAGAAAGGTTATAAGAAATAGTGGAAAGAAAAAAGAAAAGATACGAAAGGGTGAAAGAAAGAAAGAAAGAAAGATTATAAGAAATAGTGGATAGAAAAGAGAAATGAAACGAGAAAGAAAAGAAAGAAAGAAAGAAAGAGAGCGATTAAAGAAAGAAAGAAAAAAGAGAGATGAGTACGAGAAAAGAAAAAAAGAAAAAAGAAAGAAAGAGCGATTACAGGAGGAAATAGTGGAAAGAAAGAAAGAAAGATACGAAAAGAAAGAAAGAAAGAAAAGAGGATTATAAAGAAAGAAAGAAAAAAAGAAAGATGAAAGAAAGAAAGAAAGAAAGAAAGAAAGAGTACGAGAATAAAGAAAAGAACTGATAGAAAAAGATAGATGATACGAGAAAGAAAGAAAGGCAAAAGAAAAGGCGATTATAAAGAAAGAAAGGAAGAAAAGAGAGATGGTATAAAGAAAGAAAGAAGAAAAGAAAGAAAGGCATTAAGAAAGAAAGAAAGGATAGAAAAAGAGAAGAAAGAAAAAAAGAAAGAAAGAAAGAAAGGCATAAAGAAAGAAAGAAAGAGGAAAAGAGAGATGAAATGAGAAAGAAAGAAAGAAAGAAAGAAAGAAAGAAATAGTGGAAAGAAAAAAAGGATGATACGAGAAAGAAAGAAAGAAAAAGAAAGAAAAGAAAGAAAGAAAGGATAGAAAAAGGAGAGATGAGAAAGAAAGAAAAAAGAAAGAAAGAAAGATTAGGAGGAAAATGCCGTAAAGGCAAAAAAGAAAGGCATAAAGAAAGAAAGAAAGAAAGAAAGAAAGAAAGAAAGAAGATTAAAGAAATGAGAAAGAAAGGAAAAAGAGATGAGGAAAAAGAAAGAAAGAAAAGAAAGAAAGAAAGATTAAAGAAAGAAAGGAAGAAAAGAAAGAAAATACGAAAAAAAAGAAAGAAAGAAAGAAAGAAAGATTATAAGAAATAGTGGAGGAAAAAAAGAGAGGATAAAGAAAGAAAGAAAGAAAGAAAGAAAGAAAGAAAGAAAAGAAAGAAAGATTATAAGAAATAGAGTAGAAAGAAAGAAAAAGAATAGAAAAGAGATGAGGAAAAGAAAAGAAAGAAAGAAAGAAAGAAAGAAAGAAAAAGAAAAGTGGAAAGAAAAAAGAAATGAAAGAAAGAAAGAAAGAAAAGAAAGAAAGAAAAGAAAAGAAAGAAAGAAAAAAAGAAAGAAACGAGAGAAAGAAAGAAAGAAAGAAAGGAAGAAAAAAGAAAAGAAAGAAAGAAAGAAAAAGAGGTATAAGAAAAGAAAGAAAGAAAAGAAAGAAAGAAAAAAAGAAAGAAAATAAGGATAGAAAATGAAAGAGAAAGAAAGAAAGAAAGAAAAAAAAAGAAAGGAAGAAAGAAAGAGAGGAAAGAAAAAGAAAGAAAGAGAAAGAAAGAAAGAAAAAAGAAAAGAAAAAGAAAGAAAGGCATAAAGAAAGAAAGAAAGAAAAGAAAGAAAGAAAGAAAGAAAGAGCGAAAGAAGAAAGTGAGAGTGAGAAAGAAAGAAAAGAGAATGGAGGAAATGATAGGAGGAAAGAAAGAAAGAAAGAAAGAAAGAAAGAAAAAAGAAAGAAAGAAAGAAAGGCAGAAGAAACGAAAGAAAGAAAGAAAGAAAGAAAGAAAGAAAGAAAGAAAGTGGATAAAGAAAAAAGAAAAGATAAGAAAAGAAAGAAAGAAAGAAAGAAAGAAAGATGGAGATTATAAGAAAGAAAGAAAAGAAAGAGAAAAGAAAGAAAGAAAAGAAAGAAAGAAAGAAAGAGCAAAGAAAGAAAGAAAGAAAGAAAAAAAGAAAGGATAAAGAAAGAAAAGAAAGAAAGAAAGAAAGAGCGATTATGGAGAAATATCTGGATGGAAAAGAGAGATGAAAAGAAAGAAAAAGAAAAGGAAGAAAGAAAGGAGCGAAATAAGAAAGAAAGATAGAAAAAAGAGAGATGAAAGAAAGAAAGAAAGAAAGAAAGAAAGAAAGATTAAAGAAAAAAGAAAGAAAGAAAGAAAAGAGAGATGAAACGAAAGAAAGAAAGAAAGAGCGATTAAGAAAGAAAGTGGATAGAAAGAAAGAAAGAAAGAAAGAAAAGAAAGAAAGAAAAGAAAAGAAAGAAAGATTATAAGAAAGAAAGTGGAAAGAAAGGCAAAAAAGAGAGATGAAACGAAAAAAGAAAAGAAAGAAAAGAGCGATTATAAGAAATAGTGGATAGAAAAAGAGAGATGATGGAGAAAGAAAGAAAGAAAAGAAAAGAAATAGTGGAAAGACAAAGAGGAAATACGAGAAAGAAAGAAAAGAAAAGAAAGAGCGATTACAAGAAAGAGAAAGATAGAAAAGAGAGAGGATAAAGAAAGAAAGAAAGAAAGAAAGATTATAAGAAAGAAAGGGATAAAAAAAGAAAGATGATAAAAAAGAAAGAAAGAAAGGTTATAAAGAAAGAAAGAAAAGAAAAGAGAGATGATACGAAAAGAAAGA